CCCTGGTGAAAAGGCAGACTGGGACTTAGACTCCGCGTCCTGGGAAACCCCGTGCCGTGGACCACTAGAGATCCCATTGGGCGGAGCCTGACACTCAGCCTTTCCAGCATCATAGGCAATGGCATGTCAGAATGCTTGGGTGGAGCAAGAGCGTATGACATCATCGTGCACCGGAACGTGGTGCCCATTGTAATGGTTGGAAACAAGTCGTTTTATGAATATGGTGACATGCTGTTTTAAGATTTTTACTATATATGCATAATACTGTTTTGGTCATTAAAAGTCTAGTGTTTACTACACTATGAGTATTCCTTTTTCCTTCCACCTTGGATTATCCTCTATGAGGTAATACTAATCTAGGTGTATCCACTATAAACTGCATATTGAAGATCAAGATCCTTAAGGAGTACATTTATTCCAGTGGTCACTTCCAGGAAGCATACAGTGCATATTGACCTTTCCTTTAGGGGTCAAAACCTTCTGGTAAGGGACAGTGTGGTTGGTGTTGGTGAAGGACTTCTCCCTTTGATGGTTTCCTGGGCATCTTTTGGATATTTGTTGGGTGTTGGCTGATGGACTTTTTACTGTATATATAAAAGCTTTGGATTGGACTTTTGGATACATGGAGAAGTACATTTAAAAATTTGTTTTAGCGCTGCACCCTCTATCTATATATGTTTATGTATTGTAACCTGCAATATTGTGCTAGCTGCTTGTGTGGGATATACCTACTGAATTTAAATAGACCCAAGCTCGATACAGTCTATTTATTTATGTCAGAATGCTCAACAACATGTATTAGCCTTGGTTCTCTGTATCTGTATCTATACATGCTGTGTGCTACATGTAGAGCGGCCAATTTATTTCAATGGGCTGCCCTATGCAAGAGAAATGTGGGGAAAAAACTCCCCCGCCCTTTTTTAAAATCACTTCACACTGAACTGCATGGTGCAATGTGTGCAATTAGTGTGAAGGAATCTTAAAAATGTGCCTTCAAGTTAGTTATCACTTTTAACTGTATTATACTTTTGACTATCTACTTCTATTGACATACCTGCATGGATACCCTGAAGATTATAAGGTGGCTGTACATTCTGTTTTTCTTTTGTATTATACTTATTTCAAAAAACTTTAACAGATTGGAATTAATAATGTACCTACCTATAAGAATAGTCAGTAGCGGCTAATAGTGCAAGTGTGAAACACAAGAGCTGTCCAAGGTACAGAGAATGATATACCAGACATGTCAATGCAGAGATAACCATCTGAGATGCAGTTTTCCACAAGTAGGCACTTGGATGTGGAGAGGGTCAGGGATATGTTTGATTGTTACAATTAATCTTAAGTCAAAACTTTCTTTTAGTTTTGGATAGAGTAGAAAAAGGTTAAATCTCTGCCAGGTTATCTTTTTGCTGTCTCTGTACCATTAAGGTAATCTCTCCTCAAATCTTGCCACAAAGACACAACAGTAAAAATTTACCAAATAAGGGGAATTTCCAACGTAGTTGTCACCATTAAAACACTTTTGCTCAACTGTTATTCTGGAGACATTGCTAAAATTTTTAAATCCAATGGTCATCAGTACAAATAGAGGGGGGAATCTTTCCACTGGGGACACAAACAGCAATAAAAACATAACATAAGGTCCAACCCTTTCCCACTCTATAGAAAACTAAAAAAAAAATGTGTCTAGAGATACACTTTAAACTACTAAACTACTCCTGGAACATCTGCTTAGGCAATTTTATAGTATATAATTATACATACTGTCCATTTATAGTACTACTTTCTCTGCAATTCTGTGTCTGGTAAAACATTTAAAAAAAATAGAGGGCTTGTAAGTATTGCAGTTAGTAAAATGAAACACAAAGATCTTTTGAATGTTAAAGTGGTTGTAAAAGGCTCAAGGTTTTCTACCTTCATGCAATCTATGCATGAAGGTAAAAAACCTCTGTGCAGCATATCCCCCCTCCCAACCCCCCTAATACTCACCTGAGCCCCTCTAGGTCCAGTGATGTGCACGGGATTCTTGGCTATCCCTGGACTCCCTCTCTTCATTAGCTGAGACAGAAGTGGAAGCCATTGGCTCCTGCTGCTGTCAGTCTCAGCCAGTGATCCAATGAGGAGAGAAAGGGATCGGGTCTAACCACGGCTCCATTTGTGAATGGACATAGCAAGCTGCTTGCTGTAGGGGCACCCAACAGGAGGGAGGGTCCAGAAGCGCTGGTGGGGGACCCCAGAAGAGGAGGGCTGCTCTGTGCAGAACCACTGCACAAAGCAGGTAACTATAGACATGTTTATTTAAAAAAAAATGTAAGCCTTTAGAATCACTTTTTCTGATTTGTAAAGGACTCTACCAACCCCAGAAAGATAAAGTGCTTGGACATGAACTGGTGCAAAGCTGAAGTCCAGACAGTAAACGTTGTACTAGATCTTCCCTGCCTTCCCTTGTCAGCTGGTGCACCATATTGCTACCTTGCTACCTCTAAACCATTTTCAGTGCAGCTTATGATCCTCCACTTGGCTATGTAAAGAAATGTATCTTAGTCAAGCAAAATTGACTGTGATTGTAGCTCCCATGAAAACCTCAGTACAATAATTGATAAAAGTAGTCTGGGCAGTTGCATGTTATGCCTTAAAGTGTTACTAAACCCAGGACCCTGCATTCACTATATCCGGTCTCCCAAAGTATAGAGAACATGGAAATGCAATTATTGTAGTAAATACAATGGGGGGCAGTCAAGTAAACTATACTGATCTCAAAAACAATTCTGTGGGTGTGCTTATAAGGCACTTCAAATTTGCAATGCATCATTTGAACCATACTTAGAGAATGTCATTAACCTCAATGCTTCACAAATCATTTATCTCTAGAACTTTTTCTACTGCTGTCGAATGCCTATATCCTGTGCTTTTTATTGGCGACTGGAGTAAAGATTTAGTTACAGTATATAGAGATAGAAATGTTTTGCTCAGCCTTTCAGCTTTTTGAATAATGTTAAAGCGGATTTCCAGCTGAAAAAAAGAAAAGTCAGCAGCTACAAAAACTGTAGCTGCTGACTTTCAAAATACAGCCACTTACCTGTCCCTCGGTCCAGGGTGTCCTCACCACCTCTGGTTTCACCAGCCGTCTTCTCTCCCTGTTGCCAGCATCTTCAGTGTGGGCATCCGGCTGTGACAGCTTGCAGCTTCACAGCCGGGTGCCCACTGTGCATGCGCGAGAAGCACTGTGCTTTGTGAATGACCCCATAGTCTTCTGGGACCTGTCACATGTCCCAGAAGACAATGGGGAGGGAGGAAGGACAACTTCAGCTTCCGATCGCCTAGGCGATCGCAGCAGAAGTGGGGAGCAAGTACGTGTCAAATTTGGGTACGCGCTCCCCAAAGGTGCCAATCCTTAATGGGGAATGGTGGGACAAGACCAGTCACTTCACTGGGTATATATAAGGGTGTACAACCACTGTAAGGAGTATTACTAAAATCCATCTGGGTGTGAGTATTTTGAATAGTTATTTGTTGTGTCCAAGGTTGCCACCTAGGCGATATTTTACCAGCTTAGCCAGAAACAAATATTTAATAGGAAAGGCTATTACGGCTGGTAATCTCCCCAGAAAACATGGCAACCTTGGCAATATCTAGTGCTTAAAGCACTGAAAGCTTTGGAAATGTGAAAAAAGTAATGCCAGTGCCTTCGCTGTATCAGTTTGCACTACAAAGCTTTCATCTTTCTCCACCTGTGGCAGATTTTCTTCAAGGGTCACCTTTCCACATCTGTAGCACAGACCTTTTCTTTTATAGCAGATGTTTGTCAAGCCATGGGCCAGCCCAGGGCATAACTACAGGAAATGTAAGGGGGAAGTTATGATAGCTGCTGTTCATACTTTGTTTACTAGTTTTGTGCTCATTTTACATTCTCTACAAAGTAAAACAAGTTTTCCTGTTTTCTTCATATCCCTTGCTAATCTGCTGTTTCTTCAGTGAACATATTTATTTTACATATAGAAAATCATTTTATTTAAAATGCTCAGCCTAGAGTCCCTAGCTTAGATTTGGAGCCAAGATCCTGTGGATTTTAGTTAAGGGCAATGGATACATACATGGAAGCTGTGGGAATATACCACATTGCTGTTTTTGGATAGTGGTTAACCACGGATCCAATTCAAGTTCTGGGGACAGACAGAAGACATTCCTCTGTGAAGTAGAAAGACTTTATGAAATGAGATATCATGTTTATGGCACCATATGTAAGAAGTGATATGTTTTACAAACCTTATATATTATAACTTTGTATCTAAATTACTTGAACCCGCATATAATGGTGGCTTCTTATGCTGGCTGTAGTGCAATATATGGTACTTATAAGCCCTCCATGCACACTGGATGTTTTGATAAATGTTCCAATCTAAGCATTGAAAGTGTGATCTCTGTAACTTAGAGTTGTGATGAGATAGCGATAACTCCAATCTTTTTTGAATAAACAGACAGTGACTCGCTTCAGACGACACCTGGTAGATCTGAAGCTTATTCCATAAACTGAGAGAATCTTACAACAATGAACATCTGATAGGTCAAAAGATTATAATGTGATCTACTCCATAAGACATGAGGCTTGAAACTGAGGTGCATTACTGGGAAGATGAACAAAGGGGTGGGCTATCTATACAGCATGAAGTAAACCAAAGGAAAGGGAGGAGCAGAGACAAAATACAAAGAACACTTAACCACTTGCCTACAGGGAACTTTTAACTCCTTCCTTCCCAGGCCAATTTTCAGCTTTAAGCGCTGTCACACTTTGAATGACAATTGCACGGTCATGCAACACTGTACTCATATGAAATTTTTATAATTTTCTTGACAGAGCTTTCTTTTGGTAGTATTTAATCACCTCTGGGTTTTTTATTTTTTGCTAAACAAACCAAAAACTACTGAAAATTTTGAATAAAAAATTTTTTTCTTAGTTTTTATTATAAAATTTTGTAAATAAGTGATTTTTCTCCTTCACTGATGTGCGCTAATGAGGCTGCACTTATGGGCACTGATAGGCTGTACTGATAGGTGGCACTGATGGGCACTGATGTGGGGGCACTGGTAGATGGCACTGATGGGTATTGACAGGCATTACTGATGGGCACTGAAAGGCAGCACTCATATATGGCACTGATAGGCGGCACTGACTGGCACTGATAGGCGGCACTGATTGGCAGCACTGATAGGTGGCACTTACTGGCATTGATATGTGACACTGAAAGGCAGCTCAGATGGGCACTGATATGTGGCATTGATGTGCACTGGTAGGCACTGATATGTGGCATTGATGTGGCACTGGCAGGTGACATTGATGAGCACTGACAGCTGGCATTGATGGACACTGACAGGTGGCACTGCTTGGGCTACTCTGATCATCAGGGCACACTGATTAGTGCCCTGATGATCAGTGTACATGTCCCCACTGAGGAATGCCGATTACCTGCTCTCCTCTCAAGCTGTCAGCGTGACAGCTCGTGAGGAGAGAAATGCAGATAACCGGCATTTCCTCATTTACATGCAATCATCTGTGATTGGACACAGCTGATCACATGACCGAGCCAACGTCTTTGGCTCTTTCCATCGATCGGTGATCTGCTGTGTCCGAGGGACACAGCGCATCACCGATCGCCGCGCTGAGCACACCCGGAGCTGCGCACGCACGGTTAGAGTTGGAGGACGTCATATGACATCCTCCCAGAACGAGAGAACCGCCTTGCGCCTGTCATTTTCTTATATGGCGGGTGGGAGGCGGTTAAAGGAATATGACAGTCATGTGAAACATGGCAATAACGCTGGTAACTTTAGCTGTGCAAAGTCATGTTAAAAACTAGAGTTTTTCAAATTTTTTTTAGCATTTGTTTAGCATTTTTTGGGGTAAAAAAAAGTACAAAAATGCCGGTTTGCAGCGTTTTACCATGTTTTGCTGTGTTTTTCAGTGTTAGAGCATTTTTACAGCTAAAAAAATCCTCTAGAAACCCACTAATTTTGGGGGTTTTTTCAAGCCAAAAAACGTCACAGCCAAAAAACGTTGATTACAGTCTATGTGTGCATGGACACATAGGATAACATGCTGGGGAGTTTATTGACAGTAGAAAAAAAAATGTCAAACACCAAAAACAGCCGCTGTAAAAACATCAAGTGTGCATGAGAACTAAATATATCATACATTCTAGAAGGCTGCAGAGCTATAGGTGCAGAAAGCTCACAAGATTTCCTGCCTGCATAGCTGAAAACTGCTCCCAATGCATGATCTCCTAAGGCACATGTGCAAGATCCTGCGCTGGACTTATTCGTGGGGCTGACTCTGAAAAGCAGCAAGAAGTAATGCGTCAGTAATGTAAAAATTGAAAGAGTAGTGCAGGATTATAGAGTGCAGCATGAACAGAGCAATTGGAGTTCTGTTATAATACTGGGACAGTAAGTAAGTTAGTTTGCCTGTAAAGATAAATGTGACTTTATTATGCTACAATTTAAAAGGAAGTTTGGGGGGGGAGAGGGGGCACTTTAATATAACATCCTCCTGTCCTTACAACCTTTTAATTAGTATACACTGAATATATACTTAAGGCAGAACTACAGTACACTGCATCTGAGCACCACAAACTAAAAATATTATTTAATTAATTTTTATTATGCACAGCATAGTACAAGAGGAAACAGAGGGCCCTGCTCATTAGAGCTTACAATCTAGGAGGAAGGGTTGAGTGATACAGAAGGTAATAGCTGTGGGGGATGAGCTGATGGAGGAAATAAAAGGCAGTTTACTAGTTAGAAGCAGGATAGGCTTCCTTAAAGAGAAAGGTTTTCAGGGATCGTCTAAAGCTGGATAGTTTAGGAGATAGCTGGACAGATTGGGGTAGAGAGTGTCATAGGATGGGAGAAGCTCAGTAGAAGTCCTGGAGGCGAGAATGAAAGGAGGTGACAGAGGAACTAGAGAGCAGAAGGTCTTGGGAGGATCAAAGACAGCGCTTTGGTTGATATTTTGAGACCAGGTTAAGGGGATGTAGCTGGTGGCAGAGTTGTTGATGGCTTTGTAAGATTAGTATTTTGAATTTTATTTTCGTTGGGCGAGTGGAAGCCAGTGGAGGGATTGGCAGTGAGGTAGCAGACACTGAATGGTTGGTAAGGTGGATGGCCCTGGAATCAATATTCATGATGGAGTGGAGGGGGGATAGCCTATGTAAAGGTAAGCCAATGAGGAGGGAGTTGCAGTAGTCGAAGCGAGCAATAACCAGGGAGTGAATTAGGAGATTTTGGTATCATTGGTTAAAATCCCTGCCTCCTCCCCCCCCCCCATTTCTTTATCATACCTATAGTAGATTCATCATTTAATCATTCATAATTCTGACACCTAAAATGTCTACTTATAAATCCTGACATCTTTCTAGTTGGGGGAAATTTTCTGACACTACTAATAATATGTCTTTACTTTTCCCTAAGAAACTGCAGAATGGAATAATATTTGGATTACATGTTTTGGGCTCACATTGCAGAACAGTTAGACTGTTTAGTCTATTAAATATATCATTTCATTGGTCTCTTTATCTCCAATGGGTAAGCACATTCTTCTTGTACACTACATGCTTCACTTCATTCTAAGATGGATTACTCAAGTTTCCTCTATGATGAATAGCACTGTACAGCTCATCAAGGTTATACATGTGTTCAGTATTGTGCTTCATGACAGGTGTTTCTTAATGAGCTGAACCTTCAGTAATATAAAATGATCCTTTCCCTGACCCCTCTATTGCATTAACCCAGTAATAAATGATTTCATCTGTATTCTATATTTGTGGTTATCCACTTATATTAGTACAGGGCTTTTTGGTTTAAACAATATGGAACAGACATTTCATGTTTGCAGTCTATAGTAAATATTAACTGAGAAAACACTTTCATACATGTCTTAGTTTCCTTCCATCACAGAAATGTTTTGAAATAATAAACATGCTATACAAGCAATTATTAGTCTTGAATATACTTTTTATGGGCTAAAAGCAATTGACAACTGATGACAATTAATTGAAGTTTATCCAGTATGATTGTTTGAAGCTAAAATTCTATATTTCTATAGCTGTTCAAATATCTCTGTAGAGCTATTGGAGTTGATTTATCACACGCAAATAGGCTATTCAGCAATAGAAAAGGCAGGACAGCGCTATAGACAATCAATGCTGAAAGTCCACATAAACTATATATCAATTTTCAATGTATAAACAATATAAGAATCCTTCTGAGTCAATGATCCAAATGTATCAGAATGGTAATGTAACAATTCAACAGAATAGCATATAAAACATCCAGATGAAAGTCTCAATGCATATGTATAAAAAAGTTCCCTTCTGTCCAAGTGTTCAAGAGGAATAAAACGAAATGTTGTTTTTTTTCCCATGCCCAGAGGAAAAGTTTCATACTGGATCTGGAAGAAATACACACATCACACAAATGTTCAAGGAAGAATACACATAATAAATGTACCTAGATGTTATTTGCTTTTCGCGAAGTTCAGGTTTAAATGTAGCTCGCTCCTTCTACTTGTATTAGTATTTGCTGTGCTGCCCAGCTTTGTTTGCTTGTCAGAGCCCCCAGAAATATCCAATATGGAGGAGCATGTGAATGCAGAACAAGCATCCAGTCTATTGGTTTGAACACTGTAACATCAGGGAGGGAAAAAAGTAATTACCCTCCATTGATACTGTGCTTACACAGGAATTAGACTTAGGGCAGGTGAACAGGATATTGGAGGAGCATAGGTAAGGTAGGTAGCAGTGGGTGAGTGGCCTGTCACTAAAAATCTAAATTATAATGCTAGGGGTTTTATAATATTTTACGTTTTCATTTATTTTTTACATTTTTTAAGCATTTACCTAAATATTATCTATTTTACTCATTAGAAAATATTTATTCAAGAGTAAACCCATCACGCCAGAACTACACAGAATAGTAAGTGGTGGTCTCCAAACTGTGTCCCGGGGGCAAGATGTGGCCCTTTGCTTGCTTTTACCTGGCCCTTGGGGCACTATTTCATCCACTGATACCAACAATGGGGCATAATTTCACCCACTGACACCAATGAAGTGGCACAATTCCTCCCAATGACACCCAACAATGGGACACAATTCCTCCCAATGGCACCAACAATGGGGCCCAATGACACCAATGATGGGGTGCAATTCCTCCCATTGACCCCAACAATGTGGTCCAATTCCTCCCACTGACACCAAAGAATGGGGCATTGTCTATTCCCACTAACTTCTTTTCCCAACAGCCACATTCTTACCCCCTTAAAGTCTGAAAGACAGTAAATTGGCCCTTTGTTTAGAAAGTTTGGAGACCTCTGGTTTAAAGCAAAAGCCTAACAGAAGCTGATTTCCTTCTGGTGGAGCCTAGAGAACCACCTATTGGTAGGAAAAAAAAGTCTGAAGTATCCATATTGCAATATTTTACAAAATTGATTAAGACAAAATCATATTTTTCAGTCCTGGACACATTCAAAAAAGAAAATCTATACTAAACCCATAGGTTCTATTGATTATCACGATTATAGACAAAGTTTATGATAACCTCAGAAAGGATGTCGGTGGTTTTGCCCTATACACTGCAACCTCAGCTCAGTGGTCTGATTACATTAAGATGATTTTCCAGAAGCAGCAGTATGCGCCTTATTACTTCATGGCGTCTCAGTTCATGCCTGCAAGTGGAGAGTAAACTGGAAACTAGAAGCAGACCCTATGGATAATAGATGGATGGTGTTATTATATATAGTATACAGTATGTTCCAAGTCTCATAAATTCATAAATAACTGTGCTCAAGGTATTAGTTGTAATACTGAGCTCTACAAATGTAGTATTCTTTACAGTACTATAATGTGAACTGCAAAACTGCCAGAAGCTCCAGTGATGTATTCAGATTACATATTTAAGGATAAACTTCGATTAAAATTGAAAATGTTGCCTTGAGATGTGTATGGAGAGCAAAGCCAACCTGCTCAGGGCTGCAGTTTTCTGTACAGAAAAACTAAAGACAATTTACAAACACATGTTGTGTATATAGGGAACATATTAAAGCAGAGTTCCACCTGAAAAAACTGTAGCTGCTGACTTTTAAAATACAGCCACTTACCTGTCCCTCAGTCCAGCGATGTGCTCACCATGGCTGGTTTCACTGGCAGTCTTCTCTCCCTGGCGCCGGCATCTTCAGTTTGGGCATCCAGCTGTGACAGCTTGCGGCTTCACAGCCAGGTGCCCACTGCACATGTGCGAGAAGCACTGCAAATGTGAATGGCCCCGTAGTCTTCTGGGACCTGTCACGTGTGCCAGAAGACTACAAGGAGGGAGAACAACTTCTGCCTCCGATTGCCTAG